ACTTTTGCTGCTTCATTCCAATCCTGTTTGTCTATAAAAATGCTAAATGTGTATTGGTACTTCATAATATGATTTTGGTCTTTTCTGCCAGATGGATGTTCATGTATTATGTTATAGGTTTTAAGTTCTCTGACTGTTCCTAGGGGAGAGATGACCTGTGTATGCTCGTGAAATGTTGCTTCCTCATTTCCACCAAATCAATCACTTCAAAATATGATTTAATCTTCTCAGAAGGCCATCTTAAACTTAGTTTAGTACAGCAGCTTACTACACCAAGCAAGTATTTCCATGCAGTATCCTGAAACGCTGGCTATTATAAAGTACTGTGATCTTAATTAAGAGTGAGATATCTGTGTTTCCTGTATTAGATATTACTACAGAGAAAGAAGAAAAGATCTTGTATTGGACAGTAAAAATCTCACCATAGCTGTCAAAACAGGATCTGACATGAAACAAATAGTTCACTAAGTCTGGATTCATTTCTAGTGCCAAGTTGCCTTTTTTGTGGCTACCTTCTTCTACAGTGCAAAAACATGAGGCATGAATTGGAAAAGAAATGTCTCCCAAACACAACACTAGACTGAAGACATTACAACTACAGTATGTGGGGAGTCAGTCATTCATCTGGACAGCAAAGGATACCGGCAGAATGAGCAGGGGTAACTGGGAAACCTGGCTTGAACTCTTTAGAACATCTGACTTATTGCAATCCACCCATTACGAATGAATATATGATCTTTCAGGTGCGTCTTCCTTTTGTCTCTTCACAGTGTGACAGTGGTGAGAAGAGCCTTTCAGCTGGGAGGGTAGCGTATGCTTTTTTCTGTAGATTTCAGCACCAGTATTTCTGCCATCAGTTACAGCTTTTTGAATGCAAATAACCAACCTTGTCTTCCATCAAATAGCTACTTTGTGAGAAGCAGGATTACTCTAATTAATCCCAATATGGGTCAGGATCATTTCCAAGAGCACCAAGTCCAGATATTTGCTGCTGCTTACACCAGCAGTCTCTAAATCAGCACTCACAAAGCTACAGGCTGCAATTGCAACCCAAATGTGATGCAACCAGTTTAAAACTGCAAAATGTTTCCTAACTTCTCAAGTAGCTTGGGACGGCATTGACATGGGCTCACATCTATGAATCACACTGTGATTGCAAGGAGCTATGAAGAGAAGCCTTCACTGCAGTGCAGTTGCCCTGTATGCACTGAGGATGATTGGCCATGGGCAACAAGATCAGATGGCTCTGAAGAGGAAGTCCTGAATGTCAAGTCCTAAACACTGGAAGCAAGAGATCTGACTGAGATACACTGGCAAGACACGAAAGGCAAGTGGACTCGCTGTGCTTCTGCTTCTATCAGATCATTTTGGTGATAGCCACTGGTACACACAAGGATCCAAAAAGCTTTTTGTTTAACTCTGGTGCAAGGAACTGTAAGCAGCAATACAAGATAAATATTTAAAAATAAACACAACATCTTCTTCCCAGCCTGCACAGGGTTATGATCTAAGATTTTGCAGGAACATTTTGCAGTGCCCAACATAACAGCATGATTTGACTGGAGCTGTAGCAAGCCAGCGTTCTCATGGAGCTGCACCAGTTATACGTACTAACCTTCTTCTCCTCCTATCATCACCCACTTTCCATGGACGTGCCACTGATGTAACTCAAGACTTTCCTGAGAGTCATGAGAGATGGAAAACAACAAGCAAAGATTGCCTTACTTGGAAATAAAATTCATCCTCGGATAGCTGCAGTGGAGACTGGAAAGTTTACAGGCTCCCTGGGGTATCTCAGAAGGTAAAGTGGAGGATAAGGAAATTTTTTCAGAGCTTTCTGTCAGCATCTAGCACCTTGGCAAAACATACTTACTAAGGACTCCAAAAAACTAAAAATGGCTAGGAATGGGAGCCCAAAGACTATACACAAGCTTTACTATGAATTCAACCACTCAAAGAAATTCTAAGCTCACTATGTAAACAACTTAAAGTCATTAAAGTTTGTGAAGACAGACTTTTTTCTGAACAAGGACTACTGAAATTGGCACTGTGGGCTTCTGTGTGGTGTATATCACTGGCTCCAGATCCAACTTGTTCAATCTACAATGAATGATACTTGCTTTCTAATTCCCAGCTTTGTGGTTGAAGCTGGAGGGCTTTCCAGTTCATGTATTATCTTGATTTTTATTTTTAATGTAAAGGCTCTTCAGAACCTATTAGAACCTTAATTATACAAGCTATTCTGCAGTAACATAGACATTAATACCAGATTAGATGGCAGTAAACAGTTCTCTAAATCCTGCTTCAAAAGAAACAGAATCCAGTTTTTTTAAAGCTGTGCTGATTTTATAAGGCTTAACAGCAGCACACAAAGTGATAAAGCTTACTTGTCACTAAACTGATTTGGCTCTGAATACACACAAAGAATAGATCAGCTAAGGTATCACTCCTGTAGGCATTTAGGTTACAGTTGCATTTTCTAAGTAAAGATTTTAATTTTTAGAAGGTAAATTTAATCTTACAAATGAACTTCACAGATAAGAGTTTAGTCTTTCTGACAATAGCAACGCCCGTTCCTCTGCTAAGATGGGTGGAAACATAAAATATTCCACCCCAATGTGCATTTCAACTTTATTATGAGCCAAGTTATTTCTCCTATTGTGAAACAGAAGAACTGTTGGCAGCAGTTTTCTAGTTTGCACAGGTAGGGTTGGTACAGCAACTGTTACAACGTTTGGATATTGGCGGCTCCTATGACACACCTTGGCTGTTCAAACATTAACTTGTTTTTCAATGCCAATGGCTGTATGCAAATCACTTCTCAGATTGATGATCACTGCTAGCAGAAGATGAGATAACATTTAAAGGGCTAGACAAATTTGTCTTGCTTTTAATTATAACATTCAGTGTTTTATAGTGGGTGAAAAGATATTCCTCATTCCCACCAGAGCTTTCACATGGCTGAGCATCTGATTGGCTCTTCCTGCTCCAGCGTTAACTCTTTTTGCTAAAATGACATTCTGTGCTCACACTCAGAATACAGAACAACGTGGAGGTCAAGAACCCCACAGAATATAGTTTTATAGTTCTTCATGCACTATTTGCTATTACTGGATGAACATTGTGTCAACTTCAAGGGGGGTTTCTGATTCTCGGAATCACAGAGGACAACTTGCCAAAAATAGGCTAAGTGCTTGCATCATTCCCTTGCACTCCCCTGTCTAAATCATGGGTTCCTGCACACAGAACAGCTCTTCACTCATATGAGAGGGTGGAGTTCAGCATGATGCAGTCACCACTGCTTTTGCTGTTTGTGACTACACCAAGAGGACTGTGATTTAAAGGAAGCAGCTCCATTAAACCCCGATAAGCTATTCTTTCTCTTCTCTCCCTTTCTCTCTCTCTGTGTTGTCTATGCTGTAGCTGCCACAAAACAGTCTCCCTGATGGCCTTCACCTTGTCCTCTTTGTCCCTTGTTGGATTGCTGCTGACATTATGACAGCTCGAGGGCCTGCATGAACTGTGAGTGAGCAGTGATGCTCTCTGCCTAAAGGATGCAGAGTACTGGCTGGTTATCTCTGTAGCTCAATTAACTTGCAAGCAACCAGCAGAACTGGAATTTTAGTATTTTTGTATGATGTGAATGTCAGATCCAGGCAAGAAACAAAGCGTTGAGGAAGAAGAGGTATTTGCTGTCTGATGCCTTCAAGAAGCTGAAGGTTTGCCTACAACTGAAATGAGTCACGAGGAGATCAGAAAAGTCAAATAAGAAATCAAACAAGCTCCTTTCAGAGCAAAGGAAAAGCTCCCACCAGCAAAGCTGCAACTTAAGGGAAAGAGACCATCTGAAATACAGGAAACAAGCCAAATTCTGCCTCAGTTACACATGCATAAACCTAATACTACCTCCACCATGACAACTTCCCTTTATGGTTTCAGAATCCACAACAACTCCAGAACAACTTTCTTCAGTTTACGAAGAGGTGGCATGGCAGTTGCAGGTGGAGAGCAGTAGTAGCTGATCACTTCCTCATCATTTTGTCTTCCCTTTCACAGAGATATCTGAATTCAACCTTGGTACCAGAATGGAAATCTAAAGAGAACAGAGTTCTCTCATACAGAATCTACACAAGATATAAGACAAAAACTTCTCTCATAGCATGTGGGTATTCCCACTATTGTATTTGGAGGAGTGAGTAGGGGCACAGGTAATGAAAGAAAGAACCCAGTACATGTGTATTCACAGGGGAAGGAAGCCTAGGGGCAATTTAACCAAAATTCGCATAACCCCAAGCAGGTTGAGCTGCAAGTTTTGCAGGAAACTTTTTTCTTAAACCTAGCAAAATTCCAAATCTTCAGTAGGTTCACTGCTCTTCCAGTGAGAGACATAACACTCTTCCCCAAGATCAGAGTGGAATTATGACAATTTACACTAGATAAGTGTCTGTCAGATAATATGCAGTGTGTCTTGTGGAGGATTTAAAAGCATCATACCCCAAGGATATCTGGGGAAGAAGGGGTTGGATGCAAAATACAATTAAATAATGTCGCATTCCTGTCTCAATAAATAGCAGGAAACCAAGGGAGACAGCAGCTAGCAGGGCAGCATTCAGCTTCATGGCAGAAAAGGGACTCAAGAACCATGAATCAACGGCAGCAAGTAAAGAAAAGAGTAAAAAAAAATCAGGAAAGAAAAGAAAATCACTGGCCTGGGTTACAGTGAGAGAGGGAATCTCATGTTTGTGCTATGAAGGGGAAAGCTGTGGTGGAGCCTGTGCATCTGTGCATGGATGGGGAGGAACAGAAAAAGGGGTATATGCTTGAGTCCTCCAGGTGAGTGAAAGACATAGTGGGCTGTTACAGTGTGGGCAGTCTTGAAAAGAGCAAAGGAGAGCAGGGATAGGGAAGGGGAAGAGGTGGAAGGGACGGGACGGCGCATTATTATGTTGCTCAGCAGGGGCTGGGGAAGGTGAAAAGGCAGAAGGGAAGGAAATTCTTACCACATTTGGAAAGTCTGCCAGTCATCAACTCCATACAGTTAGTGGTGTCTGGATCATAGACCGGAAAGAGGAGGGGAGGAGGAAAAACATAAAAAAAGGTTTCCACACCTCTGTGCATAAAGTAGTAACTTAGCACATTATTACCTGAAGCAGGAAACATATACACATCTTGGTCTTTACACAACCCAGGCCAAATTCTGCCACCCACTATATGCCAGTGTAAATCTGGCCCTGTGACTGAGAGTGGATGCTGCTTCAATCCTGCTGCCTCCACTCACCCCTTTATCATAGCTACAGGTATCTATGACATGTGGGAAATATTCTGCCACCATATTAGCAAACTAAAAGCCTTGAATACAGTGTTTCACCTGGCTAGCTTTGAAAGTTAGCCTGCAACAGCCATGAAATGTTCAATTGGCTGATATATCTACATAAAAATCCTGGAGAGAGGGAAGAAATACAGCACTGTGCTATTGCACATGGAATGAGGTTACTTGTACAGCTCAAAAACATCTTTTAGACCCCAAAGGATAATGTCGAAGTTCCAACCTAACTCTCTCTTATTCAAGTGTAGTCTCTTACTCCTCTTGCTTTCTAGGTCACTATTTAAAGGCAGTAGAAGTACTTCTGGAAAGGGTGGCAGAATCTGGTCCGAAGACACTACTGTCCACTTTGTGTATAGCTCCCATTACCACAGCCTCTGGGTGCTTCCTACTGGGGTGTGATAAGCAAAAGGAGCTCTACATGTCAGCTTTAAAACAGAAAGGACCAGCCCAGCTGGACACTTCCATGTGGAAGCTGCTGGCAAGCCAGATCTGCTGCTGTCAGCCAGGATTCCCTTGCACTTGGGATCTAAATCATCGTGTTCATGGGCAATTCACTGCTGAGCAAGAGGATACCAGTTAAAGCACTAAGCTCAGTCTGAGATCTCCTCTTGCCTGGGATCCTGATGAACACTTGGGTATTTAAGAAATATCCTTCTCAGAAACATGCACACATATGCTGAAAATCCATAACTCCCAGGAGGCTATAACTACCCCCTGTTTGCTATAAAGTCTGCAGGACAGAGGGAAAGATAATTTCTCAGCATTCCTCCCCTTAAATATTGAGAAAAGTAATTTCATAAGAGTGGGAAGGGGTGCTGGATATGCTTGGGTAAGCTGAACCCACGCTAGAAGAGCATCTTTTCTGATGCAGCCAAGCCTGTGCTGTGTGGATCATTTACAAAACCATAGAGCAGAGAGGGCAAGTGCTTGGTCCAGTCACACTGGTCAAAGCATCTAAGCAGCGGTTATACGCTCTCCATCCCCAAGGCTGAAGGTGGGCTGGCAGAGGTCAGTGGGAGATGATACCCATGGAAGTTCTCTCAGAAAGGCACAAGATGGAGAGAAAGGGGAAAAAGGGTGGAGGTGAAGGAGAAGAGAGCATTCAAGAACTGGAACAATGTATCAGAGGTGTCAGAGAGGCCAGGAGTTTACCTGCCTTTGAAACTCTTCAGCTAGTCTGGCAGAGTGAAGACAGACTAATCTCCCAAAATACATTTCTCCCTGAAGATGCCTAGCAGATTGGAGAAGTGCCTATAGTGGCTGATTGGGTCAGTGACGAGAAGTCACATTCACAGGTTTGGATAATTTTTTTTCTTTAATAACTTGGAGAAGTTTGTTGTCTCATGCCTTTCAGTGGTTCCTGTCCAGCCCCCTCATAGTCAACTACACTTTGCTGTAATGCAGTGTGATGCAGATCTATAGTGGTAGAGCTCACAGCATTCACCCAATCATTAGCAGAACTTAGCTTTGAAAGAACACGTAAGAGCAAAGAAAGTCTCAAATATGGCCAAAAGACTGTTTCTGCCTCCACCCTCCAACACCTGGAATTTTCCCCTCACGTGTATCCACACTAACTGGCCACTCAGTAACTAGCAGTCTGGAAACAAAAAAGGTCACATTTGGATAATATCAGAGCAGGTAAACATTGCAGCTAGTTACTAAGAGTCTCCTGAAACTGGTATTTCTGTTTCATTCTTAATTTTAACAAATTAAAAAATAATCATGCCTCCTTAAGTTAATACTGTCTTTTTTTTCTAAGTCATTTGCAGTCAGCATAGGTCTCTTTAGTATTTAAAGCTAATTGTGTAACAGATCTACAAACAGTCATTGTGTGATCAGAATACAAACTGACAGACCTACACAGGAGAAAAGGATTGTAACAGAGGCTTTTTGGCAGCATAACATCTTGGGCTCTGTACTCCATTTTATTCCTAAAAATGTAAATTTGCATGGTATGGTATTACTTTTGATGGATAGGGAATTTTTTTTAAAATATGAGATCATGGAAAAATCAAAGGAACACTAATGAAACCCCTAACTTGTCTTTCTTAAAACTTTAATGCACAACTATAATTTGCATTCTCTGTATTGCCATGGCTAGTCCCAGGAACTGCATAGGAATTCATTTTTATTTGTAATGTCTTTCCAAGACCTGATCAGATTGTTTTTCCCCAATTCCTAAGGCAAAGTCAGCATGGGCACACCAGGACCAGTAGCTCATATTGCATTACTTAAAAGACTAACAGTGTTAATATGCCGTCAGCTTCTCTTTTATAATAATTACTTTAATACTTTCATTTCTGTCATATTGTAACATCTGCTTTAGTAAATACTCTACATGATAAAGTATTCCATCATTTTCCAGTAGAAATTTCATTCTAATTAGAAAGTCTTAGATTCTTGGCAGTCAGCTTCTGCTCATAGATACTAATCCACAATCCAGTGACTGTGGGATCCAGGTGTCATGTGAAAGGACTAAAGCCAGGGTCCAAAGGCTTTTAACTGTCTGAGAAACGCTGATGGGTCATGTAACTGCATTTTTTATGTGTCCTCTTTAATTTTTTAATTAAAGTATAGTAGCAGTGCCAGATCTCAATCCTTCTGATGATAAGGGAATTTCTTATTTCATAGAAATTGCTGGCAGTCCCTCATACTTCGGGTTTGACCAAGACTCTTTCATATATGACATCCATCATTAACAGATGGCAAATATTTTGGTTAAAATAAGGCCTTCCTTCAAAAGGCCAAACAAGTTCTGAATCCATTAAAAATTGCTAGTGTTCTGTTGAATTTTCTTTTACAACTTTCTTTATTCTTTAATTTCTGCATTTCTATCCTACATAAATTTCACAATGAAGTCATCTAGTTTGTGATGCTTCTGATATCTCTGATTCTGAGACTTGTCCCAGCCCAGGAAATCTCACCCAAACAACTGCTCCTCTGAGATCTCCAAATCCAGGGCTAGATCCCAGAAAGCACTGAGCAGCTCCTGCCAGATGCTCACAGTCCCCAATAAACAGGGAAGGAGATGATGTCAAGGGAGCCACCAGTTCCTCTGGTCCAAGGCAGTTATCATTCAGATTGAAATTCCCCAGTGTTAGTGTGCTTATTTGAAATTCTCTGTTCTCTTATCAAAACTCTGGAGAGTCTGGACTTTTTTTACATGCTTGATTTCAGAACTACCAGTAAGTATTTCAGATAAGTTTAATGAAGGCTGTTCAGTAATAATACTAAGGCTGTTCAGCAAAAAAACCAGGGCTCTGCTAATCCAACTAGGCATTAGAGTGCACCTTTTGTAGGTGGGAACCATGATAGCAAGATGAAGGAATTACTCCAGACACTACAGGAGTGGTAAGACATAAACAGTCACACAAGATTGCAGGAAACAAGAGAAACTTGGGACCTGGATGAACCCCAGAAAAATTGACTTGTGATCCAGTTTCAAAATGGCACTTGCAGAGTCCTTGTTTTGAGTCTGTAGCTGGAAATTCACCTTGCAAAGCACTTCATTTCCTCCTTATTCCCTTTTAAGTCTTGATGATAAAATCCTATGCACATTTAGAAACTGAGTTTCTCACTATTTTTTTTTGTAGCAATTTAGCCTACAGCTCTTGTGAGCCATAAAATACCCAGAAATCACAAATCAGTCTTCTATCAAGAATTTGCACTGCTCTATTTTGAAGCTAGATATGGTCTCTAAACACTTGTTTATGCTGATGAAAGGCACTTCCAGCAGTAATACTGAGATGCTCTGAGCTTTGAGATGTCAATGGTTAAAATCTGATATGAAGCCAATAAATACAATAAGGAAAGAGAAAAACTTTCCCAAAGAAGTTATAAAGGTTATTTCAGCATAGCTGATTGCCCAGAACATGGGAAAATGGGAAAAAATAAGAATATGCAGCACCCCACACTTAAAATCAAAGCTCAAAGAAACAAGGAAGTATTAGGGAAATAAAAATTGATACACTGTGAATGATCACAGATGGCTTTTGCATGTCCCTATTCACCAGCTGTTACTATTACTCTTTTGTGCAAAGGCATCAGAGAAAAACAAATTATGATTTAATGGAAAGAGTGTTGGGCTGAAACAAAGGCACAAATCTGAAATATCTTCCTCCACGGAGAGAGATCTTTTTATCCCAGCAAAGGGCAGTTTGCCCAGGGATTACCTAAGTAGTTATACCTGAGTATAAGACTCCTGGATGGAGCTATACATGGATGAGAGATGAGGTTGGCTGCTCTCACAGACAGTGAGATTCACTCTTGATGCAAAAGGGACTGTCCTTTCATGGTCTTGCTGGGCTTAGTGGTTTTTGATACCAGTAACAAGTATACAAGGGCAACTGTTCTGGTTTAGACCAAGGGCCAAAACCATCCAATGCTCCGTCTACATCAGCAGCCACAAAGACACGCAGGAGCATAACAGCAGGCCAAGCAGATACTTCCTAACACTGCCTTGCTCACCACTGTCAGGTCAGAGATTTCCTGAGCCTGCAGTTGTTTCTCTGTTGAGCAATTCCATAAAGATTTTTCTGTCAGGAAGTTGTCTAGCCTCCCTGGGAGTAAGAAGTATTCAGGGGAAGATGAGCATCTGCAAGCTCCTCACATGCAGAACCTGCTTCAGCGAAGAGTTCCACAGGTCTTAGATTATGTGAAGAGACGCTTTCCAATATTTTTTTTGGTACTTGACTTCCACTACTTTCATATGATGGCCTCTAGTTCTTTCACTGGGAAAAGAAAATGAACAATTGATCCCTATTTACTTGTAACTCACGCCAGTCATGAGTTGTAGACCTGGTACTGTCTCAGCAATCATAGTACAGAGGTCCTGAAACCTTAGATTAGAAAGCTGATATATTGCACTAAATTTGGCCAACTAAGCAGCGGCTTTTAGAAGTACTACATAAACTTTTGGAATGGATTTAGTTTATTTACACATTTATTCAGGTAAGGGAGGGAATCTATTTTCCTGCTTCAGAGTATGCCAGAAGAAATATGCACAGCCAGTCTCAGAAAGGAAAAATGGAAGTGAATGAAGGGATATATGGAGAAAGGGAGATTATCAGGTGCTCAAGTATGACACAGAAACACATCTGCCTAGATCAGGTACATAACAGGCTCACACACACACACACACACACACAGATGCATGGGCAACATGACATCTACAAACACTGTTGTGAGCTGGAGGAAACGAAAAAGAGGGAAGTGCATTCTGAAACCCAGGCAAGCCGGCTCAGTGGGCTGGCATACTGCATAGCAGATCAAAGAGGGGCAGGAGAGAGAATGACTGTCAGTGCCATATGCTTATTAGGCCTTGCTGTTCTGCTTTATACTGAGTTCATCGAATCTTCCCCTTTTGCAGGTCTCACTTTACCTGCATGCACCTTTCACAGCTGGTTTTCATCATCCCACCTGTAATGGCATCTGAACTAAAAGTCAGGAGAAACAACCACATAGAGGAGATGTCTGTGTATGATGACCTGGGAAAATATCCAGTGCTGGACAGTATTGCTGGTTAGAGACAGCAGTACACTCAGAGCCGCGGAGGAGGCAAGTCCAAGTGAACTGTGAGCTCATTCTATTGCAGCGCTGGACTGCCTACAGAGCATCCTCAAACCATGAACCTAAACAGGAGCCCAACCACCACAATTTCTGTGAGCTGTTCAGAGCTGGGCATATGGGAGGGTAAGAGAAACAGAGAAGACTTTGCCTTGTTTCTAGTGAGAAAAATTGATTAATTCCATGACAATTTCTAGGAAGCTCTTGCACACATCATTCCAAGTACAGACAGCCAGCTAAGCAAGGTGCTGAATGCAAACTCTGCTGTCCTTTATCCCTTTTTTCTTCCCCTTACTCTCACTGACTGGGGATGTGAACCACAGGGCCTCTTTACTTTGATGTATGGGTTGTCTCTTTTTGGTAACAATCCTTTTATTTCCCCTCCCTTCCTTTTCTCTTTGCCTTGTACTCCACTCCAATCTAAGATTTGCAGGTTGACTTCTCTCATTTTCAAGAGACTTGCATACTCCTGACCAGGTCAGGTGATGTGGTACAGAACAGTTTGGCACCCTGTCTCATGAGTTGTCTTGCCTGGTTAACTTCCCACCCAAGGGAATTCTCATTTTTAAATTTCAAGAGATCATTAATTTTGGTTTTGCTCCTATTTCACTCTGGCATTAGAGATCAGGCTGGGTTTTCCCTGCTAGAACAACATATTCTCATGTTGTTTTCAGCAATAGAAATCATGTGATTTTTCCATTCCAGAACCAGAGTAAAACTATAAGTCAGATACATTTCTCACAGTACAGTTTGCCCATAACATCTCCCTGAACTTTAGTCAGTTGAATGGTTTTTATTCCTGCTATAATATGACTTTCTTAGGGAGATATCCTGCCTCACATGCAAGTGTGCAACAGGGTTCAAGTCTTTCTAGAGAGCTGCAGTAGCTAGGACATATTAGGGTGAAGAAGTTAAGAGAGATCCTCAAGTTATTTACTTTTTAAACAATTTTTTCCTCACAGGAAAGTAAGAGTACACTTCCTTCCCTAAGAAATAAGGAATGCTTGAATATTGTTCACATATCAGGAGTAATATGAAATACACTTACAGGATGCTTTTCTATCTAATTCCCCTCACCCCCACTTAACCCCAGCATTTCCCAAGAGGAAGGGCTGGCAGAAAATTCTGGCTGCTTCCTTGAGTTTGATTTAATTTCTAAAGTCCAGACAGCAAAAACCTCAATCAACCATAGTTGTAGTGTCCTCATCTTCCCTGTTTCTGAACAGAATAACCCATGTGCTAGGCACCACTGCAATCCAGCATGCAGAAGGTCAGGCAGTGCTGGAGGCCAAAAGTAAAGTGGACACTGAACTGAGCATACTTCTCTGTCAGGTACTAAGCATACACACTTCTAGATGGAGTTATTTTATCTTCAGCTGCCAAAGCCACACTGTTAGACCAGAAGGATGTAACCCATATGTGCAATGAGCCAAGGACATCTGGGATTTAATTGCAGGATGAAATGCCAACCTAACTCCCACACTTTTGTCTTGGCTTGTTCACACAAAGGTCAAGCACAGAATTTGGCTCTAAAGTATAATATTTATTTACTTCCTTTTCATCTCCCACTCCTCCTGACTCTTTCTCTTCTTCCTCCAGCTTCTGCTCTCTACCTTGCTCCTATTTATTCCCTGTATCTGCACATTCTTTCTGCTTCTCCCTATTTTTCCTTCCTTGAAGCATTCCCAATAGGTCATCTGCCTTAAGTTTTCAATTTTCACCTTCTTCTTTGTTCTGTCCTTTCAAAGGAGAGAAGAATTAACACTGATATTTTTTGTGTGTGCAAGCACTAGTGTTCAGAGTGAACACTTGCTACATGATGGTGGGATGAAGCCAGTTTCTGTATTATCAATTCAGGCTGTCTACACATTCAGATTGATGTCACTGCACAGGGTAACACACATAAGGATTTCTCTACCACCATGAGGAAATTTACTTTTCAAATAGGTAAGATATAGCTTTTGCAGAACCTTAGTGTATAATTTGTGCTACCACAGTATTGAGCCAAGAATTTGATCACACTAGTGGAAACTATTAACCACCTTCTGACCATCTGTTAACGGTTAAGTCAAAAGTAGCTCTCAACTTTGTTCTGAGACCCTCTGAAGTTGGAGGTTTCTAAAGCATGCCTGAAGGGTTTGAAACTCAGGTATCTTCTAGAGCATGTCCCTATTCTGGGATATTTTGGAGCTGGAGAAAATTTGGAAGGTCTACTGATGATGCAGCTTTTGATGGAGAAGTGGGCAAATGGCTCTTTGGGCGGGCGGAGGGCAGAAGCTGTTCAACTGGGGAATGCACTGGGAGCACCGGAGTGGGAATGAGAAAGGGAGGAGTAGGGTGGGTGCAGGGAGTTACTGCTCTGTCCGAATGGAGCTCATTTATTGCTGTGATCAGAGGGATGGCCTCCCTCAGCCTCCTGGTACCAAGAGGCATTTCACCTTCCTGTCCCTGCTGAAGCAAGGTGCTCGACAGTAGAAACTACTTACCTGATAACTGCTGCACTGAAGGCTGGTCATGTGTGCTTAACAACTGTGCCTGAATGGTTTCTACTACCCTCTTAAAGCGACGGCTTGGACCTGTGAGGAGAGAAGAGGCACAAATGGCTGTGAGAGGAATAGGAGTCCGTATACAACCCAGGCTGGAGGGGAAGCATCACAAGTATCTTCCCTTCAGTCTTGTCCCCAGGAGTCTACTGACAGTGTCTCTGTCCTTCAGCCAAAGGGACTGTGGTGTGCTGGACTCAACAGGAGGAAGAATGGCTTCTGGGCTCCTTTTGTGAAGGCATAAAAGGTCGGGGGGGTTGTTTGTTTTAAACCCTGGGGGGGACATGTGGCCACCCAGAAGAAAAGGGTGAGTGAAAGTTTCTGTCAGAAGGAAGAAACTAATGGCCTCACAATGTCCTGCTGAGACTCTGAGACTTTTGAGTGAAACATGGAGACAGTACCATGAGATATTCCAGATCTGATGCACAGAGCAGCCATTTTAGCACTAATCGTGGAAGCAGTAACTTCACCTTTTGGGAATCTCTGTCCCTGCCTACCACTTTCATCGTTACCAACACTATTTTTGTTCCAAATGTCCTCCTTTCCCCTGTCTGAATTTTCCCCCTGAGGCTAAGACAGTTATATTCTTTCCTCTGACAGAGCAATTTGCAGGCCTCTATTATCAGCAAGGACAAAGCCAGCTTGCACCCATTTTAGAGCTTTGCCATGGTTACCTGATAAGAGTGTGAAAGTGACAGAATAGATCCCGTTCTCCTTTTGCGCCTCTCCCCCTTCTGTGTACGTTATGTCCACCTGGAACTTCACTGGCTTCTGGAAGACAGCAGGACCTCCCGTGGACTTATATTCTGCACGGAAACTTGTCTGTGAGATGACACTGTGACTGAGACTTGGAATCTGAAACAGGTTGGTAGAAGAAGGTAGTAGAACTAGTGCACAAAGTGAAAAATTTGCAAAATTCTATTTATAGCAACACACATTTCCAGAGTGGATAACATTTGCTAGATCTGCTTCTGGTCTTGAATTCATAAAGTACAGTGTTCTTGTGAAATCAGCAAGACTGTAGATTGCTTGGCACCACAGAAGAATGCACTGCTGCTTACAGGACTGATCCAAATTTAAAGGTTGAATATTGGTGGAATACCCATCATGCTTATAAATGTACATTTGTTGCTCAATTTCATACACTCAGTCTTCCTTTTCCTACTCATCTACCAGTTTTGAGAAATGCCTTTTTCCTGAGTAAAAACTACTATTAAGAGAGTGGGCAGTAAATCGATGGGATATAAAAAGCACTCAAGTGGCCTGGTCGGATCTCACAGCTGATCCTGTTTTGAGCAGGAGACCTCCTGAAGACCTTTCCAACCTCTAACTGCTTGGTGATTGATGTCAAAGCAGACACTTAGACAAGCACCTGAGATATCCACAGGGAAAGCAGACCTGCAAATAACTCACCCAAACCATAACTCCTACCAATATGTAAAAGAACTCTGAGAAACTTCATTGTATCTTGCAATATCTGTATCTTCAGACTCATGGTGGAATTTCATAACTGCCTAACTTTCAAGCAGTTACCATCCACGCTTTCTGCCAAAATGTAACATACTCTGCTGCTTCACACCAACCTGAGATGGACACCAGTGTCTGATGAACGCTACTATACTGTATTTACTCCTTGTATGCTTGTATAGTTTCAAGGGTTATGGCTGGTTTTTTGGAAGAAATTCATTGCATCATGATCCTCAGTGTTTGTCACAATAAATAAAACACTGTTCTGGTGTCACCTTGGGGGGGTTCACACCTTGCAAGTCCCACAGCCACTTTGGGAGGGTGGCGGAAAACCCGGACTGGATTTCTGCTGGAGTACAGAATGGGGGAAAACAGGGACTGGATTTTTTCTGGAGCACAGCATGGGAGAAAATCTGGACTGGATTTTGTTGGATACGGAATGGGGGAAAACCCAGAGTGGATTTCCGCTGGAGTACGGAATGGGGAAAAACACAGACTAGATTTTGGCTGGAGTACGGAATGGGGGAAAACCTGGACTGGATTTTTCCAGAGACTGGATTTCAAAAAAAAAAAAAAAAAAGGGTTGGACTTGATGATCTCAGAGGTCCTTTCCAATCCATCTGACTCTATGATTCTATGATCATAGAGATTAAAATGAAGTTCAGTATTCTATGGAAAAAAAATCAATTCAACAAACTATATAAGAAATTAAGTCTCCTTCTCTTAATGCTATTAAAAAAGTCTAATTATGTTGTTGACTACCTTGAATTGAAAAATCTCTTAATTTAATTTTGCTGTGCTTTTTCTTCACTGGTACTTCTTGACAATGATAGCAAGGATCTTCTATAGGAAAATATTACGATTTTGCTCTGCTTTCTTAGCTTGTATATAAACTGCATTTGCAACATCTGATACTCCGGTCACCAGAGGAAACAACCCTTCTTTCTGCCATACAGTACTGAAGTGGAGATTTAAAGTAACAAATGCAGATGTAAGACAGGATTTTTGTCTGATTGAAGTGGTGGAGGGTTTGTCCAACAAGGGAAGACCCAATCTGCTGCCCAGACCAGTAACTGCAAGGTTAGTTTGACAAAGGAGCAAATTGCTGTCTTGATACCGTGCCAGCAGTGTGCTCTAACTGCAGTGTTATTCCAAACACTGGCAACCTGGAGACCTTGACAAGAAGGCTGAAATCTCTTCTCACCTTAGAGAGCATTATCTATACTTAGTAATTCACACACAGTCCAGTGGAGGCCTGAATCGACAGGTTATGCACATTAAACCCACAGAGGCTGCACTTGAAGGAGCAGAGACCCTGTCCAGTAACATACAGCACAAGGAGTCCTGGAACTGACCAGAGGGCAGTGCCTCCAAGAGGCAGCTGGGATGACTTACCGAGAGGAAAGCGTGGACTATATCAGCCTTAATGGAGCTTAGTGGTTTGTCCTTAATGACCACAAAAATCTGTTCTTCTTTCTCCAAGTTGATGAAGTTACCGAACCAGGATTTTTTGGCAAGCCTGACATGATGAAAAGAAAGAGGTGGTTTAGAGTACTGAGCACTGTTTGTTATTCCTTTAACACCCCTAGCTGGAAAAAGAATTAAAAAACATACAAGAAAGTTTTGATAACGCTCCAGATTTGATGTTATTGCTAATAGTAAGTGGAAAACAGTGTCAGAGAACATCCAGAACAACGTTTCCCTTAGTGAAAATTGGTAAAATGACAGACCACACAGTCTCAGTCTGGCAGCAACAATGAAAAATCAGGAGCAACAGTAACTCTTTTGACTGAGCCAATACATCGATTAATACTGCATATATAAAGCCTATATAAGCCAGGGGACACATTTCTGGTTTGTCTCCAGGGAACTATTCATTTCATGTGACAATATGCAGATCCTGGCAACACACAGATTTAAGTTCCTTCCCACTCAATTTCAACTCCTTTGGTGTTATAGGACTTAAGTTCCTTTTCTAAAGGTGTCCTGTTGGGCTGATGGTACAATCACAAAATCTTGCTTTTTAAAGCAAGTTGTAGATTTCACCAGACCTCCAATCTGTCAGTGAGTGAAATCCACTCCCACACAGAGTGTCAGGACAAAGACTGTCCCATTCATTAGTCTCATTCAGGGTGTCTATATAATGAGTGAACTCTGGTCATCCTACAAAGGAATGAAATTTCAGTACTAAGAAAGAAGATGCCAAAACCATGCAAAACACAGTTCAGGCTTTCCACTGACAGCAGTCCAACTTCACAGTTTCTTTCAGCATCAGGTAGTGGTTTCACTATAAAATGAAATTGCTATGTTTTTTCACACTGATCGTATCAGTAAATGTTTGATTTTGCTTATTCTTTTACCAGTCCACTCTGTTGGCATTACCTTTTAAGTTGAACAGGCTAAAGGAAGAATTCAGGGACATATATTTTAATGGGAGACACTACTGAGAACTTGAAGGTAGCACCTCTGACAGGTGTGGTTTTGATGAGAGAGAAGATGTTGTTAGCCATGAGACACAGCCAAAGAATTGCTAGACCAAACTAAACCCAGGGAAAATTCCACTTCCATCAGCCATATTCTAGTAGGGAAGAATTTGGCATGAATATGTCAGAAATGAAAAGACCTGCCACTAAGAGACTGCCTTTTTTTTCCTCTACAGCATACTTTACAATGCCAAGTCTGATTTGAAGTATAGCACAGAATAGATTTTCACTCATTTTGGTGGACATTCACCACTCAGTGGAAGAAGACACTCTCTCCAGACAAGGACAGCCATCTGCAGAAGGGATTACTAAACATCAGTTTTACAGCAAAGCACTGAACAGCTGGAGCGAGTTATTAGTAGACTCGCTTTCTGTGGCAAAGGTTTAGACTGAGGCAGAACAAGGATGGGCAGAGACTAGGAGAGAGAGGAGCAAACTAAGAAACTAATTTGAAGTCTAGGCCTTCAGGATAAAGAACAAAGCTTGACCTCAGTATTGTCCAGCAATTTGCACTCATTCCCCATTCCAGAGTGCTCCATGAATAAGTCGGCTCACAGCCCATTTAACACACGCAGTAGAAAGACCACAACTGGAAGACCACTCAGCTGGGCAAATAATTATTTGCTTCATTTACTGTAGGCATCCAAAAATAAGAGTACAGAAAGATTCACTTGCAATTTGGTAAACCAGTGCCCCCCACTCAATTAAAGTGGGCTGGAAAACTGTCACTCCCTAAAATATTCATAGGCAGCTGTAACTAAGCCAGTGAGCCAGAGATTAGCATAGGGAGCAGTAAAGAGAAAGGGCCTCTCATTTAAATGGTCGTTAAGGAGCCAGGGTTAGAGTGCGAAAGAAAATTACATACTAATTAGCTCATGTGTCTCGCACACACCATAACAACTCTGCAAGCCCCTGGAGAGCTGGGGCAATAGCTCCCTGCATGTAAAGGGTCTATGCTCATTAGTAAATTAGCACCTGGTTATCTATCTAAAACGGCTGGTTGTCTTAGGCTTGGATGTATCATAATCTGAACCAGGGTTGGTGATACGGACTCCGGGGCCCAGTGGAAGCATGGGCCTGAAAAAGTGTGCATATTTAATTGCAGATCTGCCATGTTAAAATATGGCTTTTCATTTCTGTGTTGGCATTAATGGTTTTGTTGGCCCTTCATTTATAGGTCTCTTAACAAGCCCAGGTAAGAAGGGGCCCAGAACATAGGGTGGTTTTTTTCCTGTTCAGCATGGTCTGGAGTCTCCAGAATCCAGCTGGGCTCTTTTCCTCGGCAAGGTTATCACCCGTAATACTAACTCTGGATGACTCACTGATAGCCTGGGCTATGCTCCAGCTTGTAAATCACTGGAATTCACTAAATAATTTTGCTGGTGTCGCATAAGATGGAGTAGATGCCAGTGGCCTCTCCTGTTTCTGTAATGAACAGAATTAAGACATAGCACACAGGCCCTGGCTTCTACCCCTGAAACTGGCAGAACTAGCTGTACTCATACACCTGGGGAATAGGCCCACTGAAGAAGAAGAAGGGACAGCTTTGGAGTAAAATGACGCAATAAAGGTTTTTCTCCTCTTAGAGAGCATTAAGTGCTACTAACTTGGGTTAAAATGTGTATGAACCAATGATCTTTAGCACGCTGAATGAGATGCTCTAGCATCTTATGAGATCAGGCTGTAAGCAGTACAAAATGTACTTAAAATAAAGAATCTTCTCTTATCATGGCAAACCTCTTAAAGGGGGAATGAGATAGGAGATGTGTGGGGGAGGTTGGGTATGCAGATTACACTAGGGAATCTAATCAGGTGCCCAGTTGATGAGAAGCAAAGAAATTAGCATGCAAATGGAAGCTGGTGCTTTATTACTTCACACTGAATTTCTCACTGCCATAATGTTGTTTCTTTTCCTACTTTTGGAGTGTCTTGACTACACTGCCTTCTGGAGAGCCTCACTGTGTTCCCTCTCTATCCCTGAGCACACGGATCTGTAACCTCCAGAGGTTTACCTGCTTGGCATAAATAACAGCATTTCTACTTAAGCAAATGGAGCTTTGCAGTTTAAAGCAGATGGAGCTAAGTCTCTTTAAATGTCATCCCGAACACATTTTCTAGGACTTTTTCACATGAGAAAGAACAGCATTACCCAGACATGTCAAAGTGTATTACCTAATCATCAGGTTTGTTAAATGAATGGCAGTCATCGCTGTACCAGACAGAGCAAGGACATGTATTTATCACTCAACCCATGAGGTCAATACAGCTCTTGCTAAGGGTATCTTATTTCTTACAGAAAGAAAGAAAATACTAGAAAAAATAAGACATGGGAAAGTGGACACTGAGCAACAGACATCTATCGTTAAAATATAATCCAGTTCATTATTTTTTATGACTTGTGTAGCCCAATTGAACTCATTAATTTGGCAATTATACAGAAAACAAAAAAAGGGCCTTAGGCTTTGACTTGCATCCAAACTGCCTCACGTGACAGGCACTTCTCTACATCAGCTTTTAAAGAGTGAGTGGGAAGCAGAGAGGGCAATAAATTAACAGGAAAACTTCCAACAACTTACACACAATGAAGAAGAGAAATTTAATTCTAAAATGTTTTCTGTTTTAATGGCCTTAAAAACATGTGAGATGAGAGTATTGTATATTTCTTTCATAATTATGTGCTAATTTTATGAAATTCTCCCATGCCTCTCTATTAGTAATAGATGGATTTCTGTTACTAACCTTTACTAATCCCTATTTCTCCCTCTTCTGAAGTCTTTATCTCTCTCCATTATGCAGTACTGCACATAGAGTGCACATTTTACACCAGATAAATACCAGGTCCGGGGAAAGTTGTTAAGACAATACCACAGTCACCAATTACAAAACTTTGTGCCCAAAATTTTCATCCAAGACTCATGAATATTTCATATAAACATCTTAACAAGAGGCCAAATTGCCTTGGTTGGCAGGGTAAGTCTATGGGCATTGGGTGCACAAACACAAGCTGTGAAAATAAAAAGGAATAATTTGGCATCTGTTGCATATTAGGAAGTGTTTGGAGCAGCACTCTGGCAGGGACTTCCAAACCTGCCATGCAGTGACGCACATTTGTGCAGTGAAATGGCTGAAATGTACGTTGACTTTCAGGAATGAGTCTGGTGAATATGAAATAGCTTCTCCATGTCCCAGTGCTGCTGCCTAGAATTAACACTGCGTTTACTATCGCAGTCAAATATTCCTCTGAATCATCTTAGCAGAGGCTTCTGCATGTTATCCTGAGGATGCACTCTCCTGTACTAAAGGAGGACTATTTAGTGCATAGTTAGTGCCAGTATAAACCACTGATTAGCCTCTCCACACCTGAAGAGTGATCTATTTGACAAGCAAATGAAAGAAAAGAGAAGGAACATGTTACAAACCCAGCAAATTCAGCAAGCCATGAGAAAACGAGGTGGTTACTTGGAGACTGCTTCATCACCTGTTGACCCCCACTGCCATTTCTGAAGTATAGATTTTATCCAGGGTCCTTATCAAAAGAATCATTTAACATCTCTACCCCACCCACAGGAGAACAGGTTACAGATACTGATCTAGAACAGAAATATGTCAGCCTATGACATTGAGACAAGGAAATGACATTGCTATGTGGTAGAAAAAAAAAAGGTAGTGTACTGGCAAATTACTTACTCTGGGGATGATTCTGGGGTTAAATTAGACATCTCCTCTGGTGTAGGTACTGCCCATGCACATACAGATGAAGAAAGGGAAGGAGAAAAGAAATTGATGATTCAGTACACCTTTCATTTTCTGCTTGTATTCCAATGAAACAACACTGGCATTGCACTCTTGCATTTGCCCACTGCCTCTGCAGACTGGTTCTGACATCTGAACACTGGTCATATGTCTCTAGATCACTGCATCTAATCAAGTGCTGCATTTCAAGGTTCACTTCACCCTTCCTTAAATCATTATGCAATCTTGCACTGGCTTCAGACCCAAACACACTGCTGCAGTTGTCTGCAGTTCTCTGACCATCTCAGAGACAATCTCCCTGACCATCACAGCTAACTATTTCATGGCTGTGAGCTTCCTTTACCATGGGATCACATTCCAGTACCCTGCAAAACAACATGGTATTGGGATAGCTGCTGCTGATGTCCAAGGATAATGCATGTGACTTCGGGTACTCTTTGCCTGAATAGAGAAAGCCACCTGGAATTTGGGGAAGGAAATTTTGCACATCTCAACACTCTAGAGACTTTGAAAACTGAAGTAGGCCAGCAGATATGAAGACACTGATTGTATTAGAGAGATTTTTACATCAATTACCAAAGGCGGTAAAAGAAGCATTAACCAAGATCAAAAAAGTTTTGCTTCAGAAGGACAATTTTAGCCTACTGCCACTGGCTGTCTTTTTTTCAGCAGAAGGCTCAGCCTGTGGCTGTGGAGAGGCAACAGAGCACAGCCACAGGGGAAATGGCAGAGCTCTAAGTTCACTTACAAAACAAGTGAAGAATGTGAAGATAAATTATTCTTGTGGTCTAAGAGCCACAACAGAGATAGTACGAGCTCTATGCATGGAGTATGAAGAGGGCTCAGGAGATGCTCTTGGAGCAGGTGCAATGGCATGACAGAGCCTGCTCACATGGGGATTAGGGCTTGGCTGATGCTATCACTCTCACTTTCATGTCAATACTCAGTCCTTGGCAGATGGAATTTGCACAGCCAGACAGGTATCAACTTCCTGATGAACAGCTGCCCAAATCAGAACCACCTGTATGTTTGGGTGGGTACTCACCTTGTAATTTCCGACGATGGAAGCGAGGAGACCCCAGGAAACTATTCTTGATGGAGTTGAGCCGTGTCCTCCATGGCATTCCTCCAATGCTGGGGCTGGATGGTGGTGTTGGGTTGGGTGTGCCTGCTGGGCTCTCCTTTGGCGTATGAACAGGTGTCCCCTTGGGGGTAGGGAGGGGACTTCCCCTTGGAGAGGGGTGAGGGGTGACCTGTATGATGGGGATAGATTTGGTGCTTGGGTCAGTACTAGAAGGGAGCAATCTAACAGGAGACATAGGGTTGGTCTGTACTTTAGGAACAGCCAGCTGTGGGTTAAAGCCGGCAGCAGGCGAGCGGCCCTGAGCATTCTGCACAGGGTTGTTCTGGGAAGAGGGGGCGCTGGCATTGCTGGTAGGGAGTGGGTTGGATTTAGTAGACTGGAGTGGTTTTTCAGCCAATTTGCTCTTGGATGGCAAAGTCTGCGTCTTTGGGTTGGGCTGAAGTGCTGGCTTTGGTTGGAGTACATGTCCAGGCCTGGAGGCGTTCCTACAAGCATCAGGGTCCAAGGAGACTTGGGGTCGGGGAGAGAAAGGGAGGTCGGAGGTCTGAGGGGGGATGAAGAACTTTCTGATAGGCTACGAGACAGACGCAGAGTGTCCATGCACATCAAAAACAGTGAAATACGCATAGAGCGGGCGAGCAGAGAAAGGAAAGTCAGAATAAAATCCATCCGAGTCACAAAGATGCACCATGTCACAAGGAGACACAGGAGATGGAGGTGAAGGGGTAGTGGGGGGAGGGATTTTGCAAAGAAACGAAAACAAACAAACAAACAAAAAACAAAAAAAAGACATGCAGTTAGCTGGGAACACAGCATAATCAACAACAGCAGCAGCGGCAGCAGCAAGAACAACAGTGTCATAACAGGCTTCATCATATTAACCAACCACGTGTCAGCAAAGGAAAACAACAGAAAGAAAAGTACAACAAAGGAACAGTAAAATAAAATAAATTAAAAATATAAAAAAGGAAAGTAACTAAGAAAAAAGAAGAGAGAAATGCCATCTCTCTGGGATTGTTCTGATTGCCCTGCAGTGTGAAAAGCACGATGCTGTAGGGAGGTGAGGAAGGGGAAGAAGAACCACTCAAGCCACAGACAAACTGAGATGTGCCAAGAATGGGACCACCTCTTTCAGCTCCATGTGCCCATGTGCAAACCCAGTAGAGAGATGAAACTCAGAACAGGTGTGTGATACATAGGGAGTGGCAGGTGATACACAGAGTTACTGCACACACCAGTCAGAACCTCTTTCCTTCCTCTTTACCCCTGACTGGCTAATGCACACCTGAGTTGCAGCCACCCATTGCAGAAAGAGGAGGAAAAGGGAGAGTAATGCCACCTGGGCACCCACTCTCCTCTCCTGACCTGGAAGGTTAAATTTCTCCAGCATTCACTTGGAGGCTTCAGAGCATGAAACACCACGAGAAAAATTATGAACTCAGATTGGTGTTTGATTTGTAAACTGCTACAGCAAAAACTTCAGTGAGGCCTAGCAAATTTATTTATCTGGGAAGAGATGATATTTTCCATCAGACTTTATGCTTCTCCTGCAACATCCCTCATCGCATTGAAGGACAGCCTGATAATTGGAATTTCTGTCATAAAGTCTCAGCAATATTTGCCATTAAGTCTCAAGTCTAAGAAGAGGGTGAGGTGAGCTATTGTTTTGTAAGACACAGTTTAAAAAGAAAAAGACAAGCCAAGTTCATAATCCATCACAGAGGTATCAAAATGAGATTATGATTTTTTTTTTCTGAAACAAGAATATTTACACATATTAAGAGGCATTTTGGGAAACCATTCATACGTTGACAGCAAACAGCAATAGACAGACTTGGAAGGGTAGAAGCCTTTTAAAGGGATATTAGCAAGCTAAAAATCACATTTAAAATAAAACAAATGTCCTTACAAAACATTGCTATTAACACCTTAGATTACAAGTACTGGAAAAATTGTAAAAATAGAAATCGCTATTCGAGATATTTAGCTTTGGTCTATACTTAGATTATTATTTCTATAAATTATTACCTATGAAAAATTATATATCACCATTATTATTATCCATTCTTAACGCCTAAAAGCTGCAATCAAGCACTGTCCAGACATACCATGTACATGTAACCATGCCTCAAATTTCAGTCCCACGTAAGCACACTTACTAGTGAGTTTACTTCCTGAGTTTGATGGATTAGCACAATGTTGCTATACTTTAAAAATTGCAGAAATTTATATTTAAAGCTTCATTCCTGAAATTGTTTGCATTAAAGCTTTGTAATTACTTCAAAGAACTTAAGAGTTAGGCCACCAAAATTAAAAAAAAAAATCACTACATCAGAACATTTGTATTATTATTAGGATTGTAAAGCTAAACTAAAATCATGTTGGTAAATTCTGATTGCCAATGGGAAACGATAGGGAAAAGATGAGGAAAGTGGTTAATCTGTGGAAGCCACTACCAGCACCTGAATATTAACAATTTGCAAATGACACCAATGGATAAAAGTCAAAGACTGTTGATTGCAAATGTCTCCTTGCAATTTTTATATCTTATGTGTGTGATGGTTTGAGAAACAAATATGAAAGAAACAAAAGTCAAATTCAACTCCCACTTGAGCCATTAGGAATCTGAAGAGGCACCCTTAATTACCACATTCCTAATAATGAAATGAAGAACAAGATTACGTCTCTATTTCAGCTGGTGCCATGGGGAACACCATTAACAAGATCTCGTGAAATTTGAGAACTTTTAGTTGCTGTTGAATGCAATTCCTCATAGAACTGAACCTAAGCAATGCATAAAATGAAATATGCATTTGCTTTTTGAAGTATGTTCTCTTTCAATAATCATAGATGCATAGGCAAGGACTTTTAAAAAAATATGATTTTTATTCCATTATTTCCTTTTAAGCCTCAAATTTTATCTGCCTTAATATATCATTATGATCTGCTGAAAATGACATTTGGTTGCTAAATCCCTTTGAAGACTATTTAATCAACTGCCTATTAAGTGATAATGGTAAGATACAGCAACTATGGAACAGATCTTGTCAACCCTATTCTTTGATGTAGTCCTACTGAGACGTCAATAACTGAACCCAAGAGATCAACTGATGACATCAAGATTTAGGTTTGCTGCACAGTGCACAAAACTGTTTCTGTGCTCTTTTTCAGGACATTTTGCAGCAGCATAAAAGTCCTCAGACCTCTGCTTCCTTCCACTGACAACCAGGAGCCCCAGTGCAGAAAGAAAGAAATGGATCTTCACTGGTTCCTGGCACTTTAAAGGCACAGAGGAGATCACAAATACATTCATGCCAGTTGCAAAACAGGATAACAATTGACAGGAACCTAGAATATCTTTCAGAAAACAGTTCAATCAAGCAAGGTGTTGGAAGCTTTACTAGTCTATAAACTTGCACCTGACAGTGTGTCTTCATTCATAAGAATTACACAGAATCTTACTGGGGAATTATAATTTCAAATACCTGGAATACTGATGTTATCTTCCTATAACTAAGAGTAGATCCATAGGTGTATCTGTACCCTAACACATGGAATATATCCATTTCCAACGGCGGATAGCATCTTCTCATGAAGTCATGAAAAGTATGTAGAAACTCTCCAAGGACTCTGGGCCAGACAATCAGGCAACATGGATTGCCACAGCCCTACAGACTCCTTGATGAGGTCTAGACTTTTGTAAGCACTGCAGTCTTAAAGACATTGTCAGGCACTAGAGATACTCACTTTAATCCCTAAAGAAGTTAACAAGAAGATGGAGGCCCCTGTCAGTGCACTCAGAAACTCTGAACTTTGCAACATGTACTGTGAGGCGTGTGTTGTACTAGCTAAGTATCAGTAAGTACCAGTATTTAGTTGACTGTATGATTAAAAAGGGCATGTGAATGTACCTTATTTATAGGGGTTTGAATGTTCTTTACTCATCCTAGTCAGTCAACTTCTTACTTTCCTTTCGAATTTGCAAGCCCCCAAATTTGTATAATTTATTTTCTCTGACTTTCTAATACAAGCTATTCTGAGGCAAATAAAAGACAACCAGCATGGTTTGGTGCTCTACTGAGACCTAATTGAAGACAGCTGTGAAATGATTCCTGATTACTCGGTCTGAAGCCACACTGTATGCAGACCTCAGCTGGATACGGCAGTCTTTAGTCATAGCAATGTTATTCTGTGTCCTTATGAGACTGAAAAAGGGCAAGGGCACAGCGAGATCCCTGCTAACAGTGCAGGAAACATGTATGAGAAATTCTCTGCTTGCATTTGTAAATAACATTTCCCTCACCGTCCATGAAAATTTATAAGCTGCCAAGGAAAAACAAAACATCCCAGCTAAGAGCCACAGCTCTGGAGCAACAGATGCAGAAAGCATCAAGCATGTGTGAGTGAATTGGACCAACAGATCTTGAAGCAGCACCACTTACCCTTGGACTGCTGAGAGGACTGGTGGAGAGCCCAGATGATGCTCCGCTGATTGACCGAGACCTGAATGGACACAATAAGGAAAACATCTCTCAGAAAACTCAGACAAGTAATAACCCTGATCACCAGCCACCACAGGCACAGGCATGAAGTGAGGAGGAGGAGGGAGGCTGTCACTGGAAAAGCACACAACTCTTTCCTTTTCCTTCCTTTCACTACTGTCACATTTTTCAGTTGTGTCCCCCCCACCAAAATCAAAGAAATGCTGTTGCTCAGGGAGAATTCTATTAATCCCTTTTGATTAAGGCAGTTGCTACTTTCTTTTTGGTCATCAAGCGCATGGAAGCTACTACATCTGACCTGTGCAAGTTGAACTGCTGACTTCAAAAGGACGGTGAAGACATTCATATTGGTGCTGAGAATTCTGTTTTGCACAGACCCAGTGATCACAGAATGAGACTTTCTTTGTTACGAGCAACATGGAAAAGCACCGTGTTCACAAGACACAAAGGAAGGGGATTATTCCAGATAATAATTAAAAAACAAGTCTCCTTGACCCAAGCACACAATCATTTTTTATGTGATGACTTCCCACTGAGATCAAAGATCACATTGGGTTAACCCTTTCCAGCTTCTCACTGATGGTTTTCACATCTTTGCTCTCCAGCAAGATTTCTTGCTGCTGCATTAAACAAGCCAGGCCTTCTCAATGGATAATCAGTTCTGCTTTTGTTGATGACTTTACTAATATCAAGATAACAGCTCAAGTGCCCTCAAAAAGAGGCCAGTCAAGGAACAGTAAACTGCCCTATTTGCTGACAAGGTCACCTATACTGTACTGCTCTTATGCTCTCCAGCAAAGGCCACCGATGAAAAATATCAGCTACTGACAATAAAATGTGCAAATGTGCTATGCTAAACATGGTGAAAGAGCAGACAGGCCAAATTGCACAAACATTTCAGCAGAAGTTTCTAGGAGGAGGGCTGCCCAGCAAAAAAAAACCCCACACCCTGTGTGTGACTATACATGAGTGAGCCCCAGAGGCGGCTGCTTTCTATCCTTTTCAAACACAAAGCTGAAGACTGAAACATCTTATAGGAAAGGACTTGGCTAAGAACCTAGTTGTTCAACAACCACCAGGCAACAATATGTCAATACAGCAAAACTAACAATGTTTCACGTATAGTAAGAGTCATGAAAGCAATTACTTGCCTTCAGGTAGCAAACATGAAAAGGTGAAATTCCTGTATATGCTTGGAAAATGGAGTGCATGGGTATATGTGTATACATATGTGTCTGTGTGTGTACACACGTATATATTAAAAATTGATATAGGTCAGATAGCTGATGTCAGCTTATACATAAAAGAAATTCAGACCATAAACTATGTCAGTTTACTCTCTTCTGCTGTAGAATAAAACAAAAACATCTGTTTCTCAAATGGTCTCCCAACATATATTGCTAAAAATATTTGAGCAGAATTCTTAAAAAATCTGTGAACAGCAAAAGAGGAAGATTTCCAAGGAAAGAATAAGCTACAACTGAACACAATGGCATGTTCTGTTTTCTCTGTTTGTATCCTCTGCAGAAACTACTCACTGACAGTTTTCTTTGTATCTCATTGCAGTTTGTTCATCACAGTAAGTAGGTGAAATGCAGAACCCCAGTCTCGGCCAGATTAAATATAGATTGGCACCGTGAAAATATCAGGCACTCATTCTACGGAGAAACTCCCCACCTAAGTTTCTCTTTGTACCCTGCTGCACTCTGCCCATCACAGTGCAACAGTAAAAAACTAGAAGCTCACTCTTGGCATTCTCTTGTACTTGATTAAACCTAAATTTTCACCATCATGATCTGGGGCACTCATAAAGGTTTATGCAAAGTAATTTTAGGGGAAGAACCGTCTGCTCCACTTTTGAAAGGTTACTTTATGTGCCTTTCCCCTAACTGAAGTAGCTGACTGCACCACAGATGTGTTGTGCAAATGGGGAGTAAATTAGTTAAAAATCTTCCTTGCATGAATCATCAGGAAAAGCTTCTTCCAAACCATAAATTACAAGAGGATCCTATAGATTATCTTGGACAAATGTGGAAGGCATTTAGGTGCCCAGAAATGCAGTTAAACACCAACTTAAAGGAGGTGTTCCCACCAACTCTTAATTGTGGTGGGAAAGTCCTCTCTGACACTCACCTGAATTCCGGGATACTTGATTAAAAGTTCCAGTCTGCTATTTCCTTTTTGCAATCAGGTGTTTCCAACAGTCCTGAATTCTCCCTTCCCAACCCTATTATCTCCTATTTTTTTTTACAAAAATGATCACACACATAGAGGGCAAAATATGGCAGGCCCCACCTCCCAATTCCCAGTTTCTTAGCAATATTTGAAAAATTGTTGTTGTGTACTGTGTTTTCATCCAGCCTAGGAGCCTGAGGCAGAGGACATAAGAGAGAGTTAGTGTGAAATCCTCTTGGAAATGCATTCAGTATCCATATGACTGCTTTCTTTCTGCTGCTGATTTACATGCAAAATAAGTAAGAAGTAAAGTACGCCCTATAGCAAGTTTCAGTTTGTCCACACTGGAAATTGCATATAGGAGCAGTCAAAAGATTTTAAAGAAACCTCTGTTAATTTTAAATGTTGAGGTGAAAAGAGAGCTGCACATTTTCAAAACTTTTCCTCCCTTACCAGAAAGTGTTGCTATGGGATATGACACCCAGACTGAGGAGATCTTCCTTGCATCACTTTCAATTTAACAGATCTCCCATAATGTACCTTTATAAATGGGACATAGTTTCCAAGCTGGCTATAAGAACTCAGTACCCTGGCCTACTATGTGGTTCTATACTCCAGTACAAAAATGCTAACAGGCAAAAATGACAGATTTGTCCCTCTCATCAAGATCACCTTGGCTGAGCAATGCTATAATTCAGTTTGTAAAAAAACCAACCACATGCACTGCTCCTGTATCTCAGAGTCAGGGGGATAGAACTCGGATAGGGCCAAAAGAAAGTAATGAAAACATTGCATTATGCTGAAATGCTGTAGTGAAAGAACAGAGAATTTAAATTTTTATCCCTCTCACAAGAAAATGAAAGTTTGAGGCCCTACCAGCAGCACATTAGTATGGCAGACTCTTATGTCGTATGTGTAGAAAGAGGAAAAAAATATGACATTACCTTATCTCCACGGCTATGAACTAAATTCATTCAGTGGGAAGTATCTGTTAGTGAATAACCTCCTAAGAGTCTTTAGAGGCATTAAATGTTATTGGAATTATTAAATTTATAATTATTCCAAGAACTTAATACTAAATGCAACCATCTCGGAAACTATGAACATTTTGTATGACTCATTTTGCTCTGTGTTTTGCATTGCCGTATGCCTGCACACTAACTCAATAGAAGTCATCAAAACATTGTTGAAAATACAAGCAGAAGAATCAGTGCAGTTGCTCAGACAAAGAGCATTCCTTCAAACACAACTGCCACATTTAGAGACTCAAGGAGAGACTCTTTGGTCCCTTCCCTGTGAGCAAGTGACACAGTCGTTTTTCCAAGCCTGCAGGGAGGAATTAAAGAAAAACCATAAGGGAGCTAGACCCAAGGTTTAGGAGGGGGAAGATGCAGAGGGCATTATAAACATAAGGTGGACACTGAGATCATTGCAGGCTATTACTCTCATTCCACAGACTGACAATAATCTGGAGATGTCTGAGCTATGAAAGAGAGAGGCAAAGGACTGAAACAAAATGTGCATGTGTGAGCTGTAGTTTGCAGCTGTGACGATACCTTATTCAATCTATTTGATACTTCAAAGCATCGAAGTTAAAAGATCCTTCATTTTAAAGCATTTTTTTACTCATTTTAGCCAGCTGCTGTCAAAGAGGAAGCTGTGCTAGGCCCAATTCATGTCAGATCAGTGTTCTCTTACTGGTGAAACTGAGGGGCTGGAATCCAGTTTCCAGCTGGTTTCAGAGAACTGCAGAATTTCTTGAGAGCAGTAAGAGCGCTGAAGCCTGACACTGCTGAGGTGTAGACGGAGAAAAACATAAGACAGAAAAGTGCAGCTGACCTGGTAACCATATTACACATACAGCACATGCACAGAGCATCTCTACATAGCCCTTCTCTCAGATTAGTTTTCAAGTGCTTTAAACAGTGCATCTGCTCGTACACACCAGCAGAGCATAAAGGCTTCACAGCCACATTTAGGTCGGATTCGGCATTTGTTTCTTCTTTGATAACCATTTCACAGAATTTTTTCTTGCAGTCAAAGGGGAGTTTGGTGCCTTGTTGCAGTCCCAGCAGAACTTGCTTTCATAACACAGTTTTACCAGGATGCTGAACACAGCCTCTTAGCTGGTCAAGCTGGAGCCATGCTTCCAAGAAGGGGAGCCAGCGGCATGCATGCAGCATGCAGTAATGCATCAGAATTGTGTCCCTGGGTGAAATGCCTTAGAAATTTTGAATTAGTTTCCATGTATAGTTTTGAAACTCATTTCAAAAAATATACAGCCATCCTCTTATTTGCTTCAAGCATAAATTGGGTGGAATTTGATACTCCTCTTTCCTTGCTTACTCAAACCCCCCAAAAACCTAAACTGAATTTCAGGGTATGAGATCCCTGAAATTGACCTGAATTAATATGCAATAAGTGTGTTAAATTTCACCACTATTACTCTTGGGAGTCTAAAAGATACAAACTGTGCTTCCTTACTCCCTGATTTAGGGAATACGAATAGAATACCTTTGTTGTTTCACTGTCTTACAATCTCAAATGTGCAAATAATACTGTAACAGCTCTTACTTGGAATACTTATGCTTAAGTCAGAAGGTCTGCTCATGGTAATGACTGCTTGTAAGATGAAGCCTTACAAAGAGTACAGAGAAAGGAGCGCAGGTGTTGGTAACACACGCTTTGTCCTTTCAGTGCATACAGAGGGTGATGCTGAACAGCACCACCCTCCTTAATTGGCCAGTTATACTAGAGTTCCATTTATAAATGGTTTAGAAAGAATTAATAAATAGTAAAGCAAGCTACATGAGAAGTAAATGTTAC